TATGATCAATCTCCTCATGTCTCCTATGTCCTTATCACGACACGATTATTTGACGACAAGGAGTCCTAACCAATCACGCCACTTTATATACACATCCTGACTTTATAGCTCTGTACGTATATTCTCTCCGTCTATTTACTTACTTAAGCGTTGGAAGGTTTACGGGATCAACGCACCACACATTTGTTTCAAGTTATTGGGAGCTTTGTTCATGATCTTAGCTCGAGTCTGTACAGGTCAAGTCCGAGTCCACTCACGTACATCAACACATATACAACCTTTTATTTATTTATTTATTTATTTTTCAAGTAAATGGGTTATTCATGTTAATACTAAGATAAAATAAAGATAACTTATAAAATAGAATAATTTACTTATTTCCAACTTTGAACAACAAAAAAATAATTTATTACCAATATTATTACTTATTTAATTATAAGTAAGTTTAGTTACAAGTAGTTGTTCAAGCTTAGCCAAGCATCTACTCGTAAAGTGGTAATTGCCACTCACTTCGTATCTTTTAGTTTGATCATTAATAGTTGGGCAGTTTGAATTTTTCGTAGGTTTAGGGTTTTTTGGAGACTTTTCTTTGTTCAAGCTAGTATAACTAGAACTATTCTATAACAGTGGAACCAGTAACAAATGAACATATTAGATAAGTTACTTTAGGGTGACAGCGTAAATCTCTTTCTTCAGATTATGAAGAATACCTTGACAAAAGTGAGATTAAAAAGAAGTTCTTGGAACTGTATACTTCTTGCTCATAGTATATTTTTACAAGGCTCTCACACAGGGCCGGTCCTGGGCTGAGGCATTTGAGGCCTCAGCCTCAGGCCCAAAACCCTTAGGGGGGCCAATTTTGCTTCAAATTTTTTTTTTTTTTTTTTTTTGGGAATAGTTTTGGATTTTGGATGTTATTTTAATTTTTTTTTTGGGGATAGTTTTGGATTTTGGATGTTATTTTAATTTTGTATTGTTTTCGTAAACTTGTAATGCTCAAATTTTTGCGTACATAATTGAAAATGTTATTAGATTTTTACGTAAATTTTTACGTTGATTTCGTCCGGGGACCCAATTTACGGACCTCGCCTCGGGCCTCCATTATCACAGGACCGGCCCTGCTCTCACAACCAGGGGCTTAGATAGGAGGGCTGCAATTTTTAGCTCACCTCAAATTTAAAATTTTAGCTCGTCCTAGCTTTGCTCCTGCCCTAATCTATTTCTCTTCTACTTTAAAGGGAAGAAAAGCCACAGGATTCTTCGAGTTGAGTTTCAATTCACAAAATGGTTCTGGGAATAAAGGCACCATATAACAAACCAATTGTTGGTACAATAGTTAGAAAGTTGAACTAAAAAAAAAGAGAGAGAAACTTTTGAGTATTATTCGAACGTTAAAAGGAGCATTCTTCATCAGGTTTGGTACTTCATGTTTATTTTATACACTTATTTGGACATAAAAATAGACATTTAATAACCCTTTTAAGCAATAACAGCTTAATTTATTTTATATTTTGTTTATTAGGTAAACTCTATAATTGGAAGTGGAATTGAAAAAAAAAAAAAGGCTAAAATGATGAAGTCCAAAGTTTGATGACCAAATTGCAAATATTCAATATTTGATTCGTACCACAAGACAATGATTTGAAGATTTCTAGAGATAATTGGATGAAATTAAAAGTAAAAAAATAATGGAATATGATTAAAATATTATCAATTTTCAGTCGTACAACTTATATTTCATATTTTTAGCGAAAAATTATAACCCACTTTTGGCATAGTAAACATTCAAATTGAAAAAAATTCTATTTGTATAAAAGTCGTATCCCTTCAAATGAGCTTTCTAACACATTTTAAATCACCTCAATCGAATATAGGGTGAGAAAGTTATGATTAAAATACTGACAGTTATGCAGAGACAAAAATATGCGTGCGAAGGCAACTTTCCTTATTTAATTAGAACTTTTTAAAAACCAATTTGGACATGATTCTCAACCAAATTTCAACTCCTACAAGTATCTAATAGCAGGATACATTAGGGAGACTTCTCCTACACCTCACATACACATATTATACTCCATTATTGATCAATCATTATCATAAAATGAAACAAAATTTATAGTTTTGTTAGAGAATTGAAGGGGACTTGCAAGAATTTAATTAAGTGAAGATTCAACCTTGATTTTTGGACAAAAAAAGAGAGTGTTAAATTGAAGATTTATAAAAAAAACCACTGAAGAGACTTAAGATCTCAAAATTCATCTTCATCTTTTCAAATTTATCAAAAATTTTGGTTGTCTTTCCACTTAAATATGATTTATTGTAATTTTGATATGCTAGGCTAGATTTATAACTGTTGCGATGTAGATAAACTCTTATTATGATTTTTTAACATAAACTAAGTATTTTGACATATAATATGTGTGAGTTCATGGAAGATTGTTATTGAGTTTTAATACCCTTTCAATTGCTTGGTCATCGATTGTCTTAAATGTGAGTTTTATTGATTTCAAAAGAAATAATGGAATAGTTAGCACTTATAACAATCATTATAGAGTCCAAAATAGGAGATAGAGATATACAGTTATACTTTACATAATTCCTATAGATGTTCTAGAGATACTTTTAACTAATTTAGGAACATTGATCAACATGAATAAGTACATATTGTCATGAATTTAATTGTATTAAAAATGGATTAACAAAGAAGATTTGAAATCTTATCATTCATCTCACATACTTGACAAAAACCTTCATAATTAGCTTAGTTTTTATAATTAGATAATTAAGTATAAATACTCAAAACCAATTTGACTATTCAGTAAAGGTTGAAATTAATTGACACTAGATTAAACGCATAGTTCTCATGGGTTCTACGCTTTATTCATTACTTTTACTTGTTCACGATCTCATTCACTTGTGGAAAATAAAACGATCAGTGCTCATGATTTTTATTAGTTAAAAATATGTAATTGACTCTTTGACAATAACTTGAACAAGAAGCTAGAGCCAGCAGCATATGCTTAATTAAAGAAAATTAAGTAAAGATTTAAAAATTATAATTATTTTAAATTAATTTGAATTCTTCTTTTGTTGCATGTAGGTAGCAGTAGAGATGAAAAGCGAGCGATTCCCTAAGTCTACGAAGAAACAAGTCAAAAAGATTGGAGAATGGTAATATTTTAAATTAAGAAGAACTCCTCGGTTCGGTTCAGGTTTGGTTCATTTTGAGAGTTTTGTCCAATCTTACCTACGTCGAATTATTAAACCCTACGCTAAGTGCACAAGATTGGAGAACGGTAACATTAATAATAGTTGAATCATTAACTATATGCGAAGAATATGAGATATGATAATGATATCCTTAATAGTAGGTTGGGATCGCCCTGTAATACGAAGGCATGGTGGAAGAAACAAATATTCCCTAAGTCGACGAAGAAACAAGTCAAAAACATATGTTGCCACCACAATAATTGAGGCCTCAATCCGTAGATGAGTAAAAATTAAGTTACCCACCACATCATATCTAACTCAACCCATGAAGATAGTAGTTAAAGAACAAGCTCATGCATCATGAACAACAAAAAATAAAATTCAAACATTAATTTGTTGTATATTTTATTTGTATTTGTTTTCCAATTTTGATGTAGAAGCCTATCACTTATTGATGGCATGATACTCTAACATCAAGGTTGATTTGTTTCAAGTTGTACTGAGATGAGTCGTGTTCGTATCTAAAGCCTATAATCATGTTTCTGGTCAAGCAATACAAATATATATCTTTGTTCAGGCTAGCCTTGGTGATCAAGGCGTTCTTTTGTTCAGCAGGCCTCGACGACCGAGGGATAAATGTTTTATTCATGAAACTTGAGCAAGCAATGGGATCCTTTGTGGTTGACATGGCACCAGATGGACAATAATCATTTCTACATGTAATAGTTACCATTTATTAGGACAATAATGTGTGGACTCTCGACGTGAAGACATTATTTTTTCATATTTCAACTTCCAATTTTAGTTGATGATTTACATGGCAAGCAATAATTGGAAATCGCTCATTAAAATGATGAACGGTGATGATGAGAGAATCAAAATAAAATTGATTCGAGAGGTGCCCATATATGTCCCTGTCTCACCAATAATGGGAAAAGATTAACAAGATATAAGGTGTTTCCATTCCTTTGGAATATAATTAAGAAAGAACTTCTTGGAGAATATTTTTGACATGTGATTAAATAATTCGTTGTAGAGGAATAACTTTTACATATATCCTATGCTTTATCATATGAATGTAACTAAGTGTGTGTGTATATATATAGTCACATCTAAGCTTCCTTTTGCTTTCACAAGGAAAACGGTTCACTTGTAGAATATACATTGGTGTTACCAATGAAATCATAGATTTCAAAGATTAACGAAGAACTGGTTAAGAAATAAATATAATACCAGTTACATCTAAAAAAATATTAATTGTTGTGGGCTACTGCTCTTAATAAGTTAATCTTTTAAGATAAAATTTGTATCTTAATTAACATTATAGTCTAATAAATTCAGACAATCAATTCAATCCCTCTAAAGTTCAAGCGAGCGATTAGATTCCAAGTTTGGTGTGCTCGGCCAAGTAACCATCTTGTGGGTGCATGTTGCTCAAACAAGTGATCGAGTTTCAAATTTGGTGTGTTCAAATAATTAGCCATCTTGTAAGGACATGTCAAAGGATAAATATCACATTTGTTAAATATGAAAACATTAACCAATATATATGAGCCGGGTTACTTCTTTTAACAGAATTGACTTTTTAAGATGAAAATTCAGGTCTTCATAAATTAATGCGTAATGGAAAATCCATGAATTATGTGTTTGCATGTATGATAATACTAAAGGAATATAGTTAAATTGAACTAACAAATCTTCAAGTTTTGCTTCCTTTTCTTTTTTTTTTTAATATTATAAATTTAGGAAGAGAATATTGTACATAACTTCTCGTTGATGACCCTCAACCCGATAATGTCGATCTCATTAACAGGTGAATGCTATAATAACCAAGATCTTAGCTTCCTTTAAACACCTGATACGTGTTTAAGCACCCACAGATTATTGGAATGAGGTATCAACTATCAAGAGAAGGATTTTTTTGGGGGCGGAGGGGATGGCCTATCAATCATTGGCAGTACTCTCAACCGAGTTTTTAGGTTATGGAATTTCATCCCTAGGACTAGTGACTTTGATGAATCAACTCCTTCCATTGTGCCTAACGAGGTCTTTGGATAGTTGGTGCATGTTAATAGGGCTAATGGAACCATGCTATACAAACATAATTGTTGACACGTGGAATGACCGAACACTTACACCTCGAGGGTCGGGCATTATTTTATTCACGTGAGATCCACGCTCCATGTGAGGATCGGTTACCAAAGTTCGGGCACTTTGACATTTTCCTCTTTTAAATACCTGATATAAATATGTAAATACTCCATATCTTTGTTTGCAGTCATGTTTAATTGACAAAAAACTTATGTAGCAGAAAGCAAGGATTTCAAGACCTCTCATTGATACCACCCACCATAAATCTGAACTCCAAAGAAGTGTCATTCTCCATTCAGAAGCAACACTTTCCATTTGAGGAATCATCAAACTCAGAGTTTGGAATTGTCTGCTCAGATGCCCTTGTCAACCCTTCACAAACGATCTCCTACCTGAATACTAAAGACTCTGGTTCTCTTCTGGGTTTCAACGACCAAGAAGCAAATGATCAATGTCATGATTGCCCGAAGGATCAATCTGATCTAGCCCCCGTCTCCTGGCCAGAACAACTAAAATCAGACTGGACGCAGCTTTCGATGTCTATCCCTGTAGCTCCTTCAGATTTCTCATCATCCTCTTATCCTTCTCTACGGGAAAAACCTGCCATTTCAAAAGCGAGGCTATCTCGTGAGCTAGGCCCTATCCAAATGAGCTTGGGCGTAAGTAATGATATTGGAGAATCACTTCAAAAGCAGTTAAATTGGTTACCAGTTTCTTGGGGAAATTCAACAGGCGGTCCATTAGGAGAGGTTTTGGCGAGCACCTCTATCAGCGTAGCAGCTGGCACAAACTTGTCTTCTTTGAAAGCATATGAAAGTAGCCCTCAGCTTGATTCTTCTCCCAATGGCGTGCTGCAGAAGTCTACCTTTGTCTCGCTCTCTAACAGCAGTTCCGGGAGCAGTCACATCGCCGACAACAGGAGCGCACCCCGAGAATGCTAATCTTCGCCATGAAATTGGTTCAGCTACTCCATCCCTGTAAGTGTATAATAAGGTATTTTAAATGGCAAAGTGACGGAACAAAAACAAAGCTAGTTTAAGGAGTTGATGGAGGAGGATTTCCGGATATTGCTTATTATGTGTCTCAATTTCCTTTTTACTGTTTACTTTATAATCCCTACTAAAGTTTTTAAGCAGAAAATAGGCTCATATTGGTATATAGCCTTCTTTTATGTATGATTTACTCATGTTGATTTACCCCTATTTATTTCCCATTATTTGCCCTTCAAAATGAAAAATACGACTTTTATTCATCACATCAAGTCGTCATATTTGACATTCTATGTTTTGTGTGAGGTCCGTAACGATTATATTTTTCATTCTCATTTTTATATTAATGTAGCTCAAACATGGCCTAATTTTTTATTTTATTTTATATGTTTAACTTTATTTTCGAAAATGCATTTTCACTGAGCTCGATATATGAATTTCCCTTGCCCTTATGCCCTAGCGGGAATTAGGACTCGAGAGAAAATCCTTATATTAGTTGCTCATTACATTATTTTCTCACTCTATAGATTTATCATATGGTAAGTATAATATGAGGTGATGGAAAGCAAGCACTAGGAAGCACCTACTTCGAATGACCCTATACAAGAGAGCATGAGATTGAAGAATGATAGCATTAATAGTAGTTGAATCATTAAACCCTATGTGGAGAGCACAAGATTGGAGAACGATAACCTTAATTATTGTAGATTGGATCGCCCCGAGGTATGCTAAGGCATGGTGGAAGAAACAAATATTCCCTAAGTTGACGAATAAATGTGTAAAAAAGGCCATTGTCAATGCAAAAAATGAGGGCTTACCTTCAACATAAAATCTAACTTAACCCACAACGACATAAGTTGAAGGACAAGCACATGCATTATGTTGTAATCAAATTGACATGATCTCAAGTGTTATTTGACATAGTTACATATAATAATAGTGTGACATTTTCAAGAGTTGCTTGATATAGCATTTAGCACTCCTATTTGTATTTGAGACATGGTGTAAAGTACGGCTTGTCACATTAATCAAATTGTTCAAATTAATTAAATTATTTACAAAAAAAAAAAAGAAAGAAAGATTGTTTATCTGCAATAACATTTCGATTATAGGAATACTTCGTTCAACTTATAAATTAAAAAAAAAAACATTTGGTTAACAAAATAAATTAGTAATCATTCTAAGATGTCATTTTACAGATATTGTTGTTGGATTTTAATGTCATGTGGGCCTACGCATGAATTGATTGTGTCTAAAGGCTACTTGAAAGTTAAGCCATGTTTAAAATGATCAAATTATAGATAAAGTTATTGTGCTTTGGTAACTAAATAAAGTGTGGGTCTAAAGATCAGATTCCTTTAGATTTATATTTTATGATGAGAGAAATACTTAAGGATATATATGGAGTTATGATCCTCAGTTCATATGTAATTTCTCATTTTTTATTACATCTTATTAATACAAGAATATAAGAGAAAACATATTGAAGAGAAAGATCCAAAACCCACATTCTAAAATCAAGAATCAAGAAGAAGGAATTGAAAAATCAAGACTATGGATCAAGAAGCAAAATCAAGAATTAGTAGATCAATGTATGCTCCGTATTAATTAATTTTCTTGGTGATTTGACATAGAGATCTTGACAATTTATAAAGTTTAAGTTTCATAAATATTCAATAAGCAGTATCAAGGCTAACTACATGTTAAACCATTGAGAATAAAGTGAAATTTTAGGGTTGGAATTCATACTTTGAATTTCTAAATTTTGGGACATGAATTTCAAACACTAGATTTCAAAGTTTTGACTTTTTCGGAAAAAAGTTTTGGACAAAATAGTAGCTGCGACGTAGCAGTGCCATGTCTAATGCGCTGTGGCACCCAGGGGTTGCCCTCCAACAGTGGACGGGCGTTGTGGTGATAGGCGTTGCGGCGCCCAATTCTGAAGAAGTAATGCCTAGGTTCGATTTTTGTACATTTTTGTTTTGTTTATTTTATTTTATTTATTTTTGGCAACATAAGAGAAATAAAACTAGAATATAAAGAAACAATCAAAATCAAATATTGGTATTAAAGTTTCTTACAGATTACTAATTTTCTGAAATAAATTAATTAAAGCAACATGCAATCAAAATAACCTCTCTTGTCTAAATTGATTTATTTGGATTATTAAGAAGGTTGTTTGTATGTAATTCATGTAAGTATGACTAGCCCAAAAAATATTAATATTTGGCCAAATTATTTGTACACTTGTGATAATAAATATGTGACAATTGTAAAGTTATTCATTATGTGAATGTCGGTTCAAAGATAAACTTGATGTTTGACCGAATTATTGTCAGTAATTGATTACTACACTGAGAGTATCATTTACAATTTAATATTTCTGTCGAAAGACTAAATATCAATATTGTGCTCCATCTCTTGTGATAGGGTCCACCATTATTTGAAATTAATGATTGTCTAATATGGATTCCCATGTGAAGATGTTATTTAGTTTTAAGTTCTCTATTCGGTCAATCCATCTGTTTCTGTTATATCTATCAGCTAATTAATTAAATTTCTATGCCTATGAAACCAAATTTTAAGGACTGAGAAGAAAACGTTCATATCGTTTTTGGCTACATGGGTGTAGACCTTACTTTTAGAATTGACCAACACACTACACTTACGGATAAAAGTTCCATTGATGAAAAAGGATTTTGAAAAGTAAAATCGTTCAAATTGCATGAGGCTTATGATCATGAAATGTAAAATTCCACTAACATTCAGGGGCATTTGGTTCGATAAGGTAACTTCTACCACATTTCTCTAAGAAATTGAAAAAGGCCTTCCAAAAGGAGATAAGGCCGAAGCTAGTATGCTTCTAACAAACTTGGTTTCATTAAAGTATAAGACTAAAGAAAATAGACGGGAGTATATTATGGATATGTCTCATCTTGCTTCAAAACTAAAGGCATTAAAATTTGAGCTATTTGATGACTTGCTCGTGCATTTGATTTTGATTTCTCATGCTTCACAATTTAATTAATTTGAGGTCAGTTACAGTTATCAAAATAAGAAGTAGACTCTTGATGAGCTTAATCCATACTGTGTACAAGAAGAAGAAAAGTTAAAACAAGATAGAACTAAAAGTACTCACTTGGCAAGTACTTCTAAGGACAAATTAAAAAATAAGGAAGCTACGTCCAGTGCAGTTCGGAAGAAACAACAAAAGTCTGAAAAAAATAAATTATCTAATTGTTACTTTGTAAAAAATTTGGAACTTATGAAGAGGGACTTTACTAAATACAACGTTTGGTGTGTATTGATTCATCCATGTGGGGAGATGGCGATATCTAGACACACTTGGTGGATAAATTATGGTGCCACTGCTCACATAAGTGTGTCTATCCAGGGTTCTTGAACAGCCGAAAAGCCAATCAATGCTGAAAGATTCATCTATACGGGGGCGATGACAAATCAATTAAAGTTGAGGTTATGAGGACTTTTAGGTTATAATTAAATATTGGTTACTGTTTGATTTGAAAGAGACATTTGTGGTACTATCTGTTAAGATATAATTTGGTTTCTATCTCTACACTTTTATAAATTCGGTTACCCTTGTTCATTTGAAAATGTTAGTTTTATTTCTTTCTTAATTTTAACCTATATTTGCTTAATATGATTGCCTCTTATATAAAAATCTTGCATGTAAATTTACGTGTTTTTCAACGTAAATTAATTAATGAAAGTTTTGCTTCATTATGACACAAGAGTCTAAGTCAAATCTCTTAAAAGAGAATGAAAAAGCATGTGTCAAAAGGAATTATCGATCCCCTTGATTTTTCAAACTTAAGAATTTATGTTAATTGTATTAAGGGGACAAAAAAATAAAAGGAGATTAGGTACTAATAAGATTTCGAATGTCTTAGACCTAATTCATACATATATTTGTAGGTCATTAACTTAAGCTTCTTAGAATGATCAACAATCATTTATTACATCCACAGACAAATTTTTCAATATGGTTACGTATAGATTCTATAAGAAATCTTAATTACTGCACATGTTCAAGACCTAACAAGGCTGAGGTTAATAATCAACTAAGCAAAAGAATTAAACATGTCAAATTTAATCGTGAGGGTGAATACTATGACATATATGACAGATCAGGAGAACAAGGTCCGCCACATTTTGCTAAATTCCTAGATGAATGTGAAATCATCCCATTGTACACCATGTCGAGTTCCCCTAGCATGAATAGTGTTACTGAAAGATGAAACATAACTCTTAATGACATGATAAAAAGTATGATTAATCGTTTCACCTTACCAGAATCACTCTAGGAAGAACCACTAAAGACCACAACTTAATTTCTCAATAAAGTTTTAACTAAAACAATAGCCAAAATCACTTGTAAACTTTGGACATGGAAGAAACCTAGAGTGTGTTTGAGCCCCTTTTAATTTTGAAAAATGTATTACGGAATAGTAGATTGATGGAGAATGTGTGGTTAAAAAGAAAAAAAAGATTTTGTTTTGCACGTAATATCATTTTGATGAAGAATGTAAGGTTGAAAATGAGTACTGTAGAAAAAATAATGTGGTAGAATGTAGAATACTGGACGACTAACATGGGAAGCACTTGTATATTTGGGGTTGTCGTAGGCTTAAAAAAAAGGACTCAAGAACCATCAATTTTACTGGATATTGTGAAAGATTAAGTAGTTACAATTTTTTAAAATCCCACTAATGGTCAATTTTTGAAACAAAAAATATTCAATTTTTTGAGGATATGGAGTTTGCGGAGGTAAATAAGATTTTTATGATTAAGGACTTTGTTTTAAGATTAAGGACTTTGTCTTGAATGAAAAATATGTACATATCTCTTCTGTTGCAAATGACAATGATCAGGATCAAAGACAAATTCTTGCTCCAGATCTTGTTCAAGAAAAAATTTTGGATCAAGAATAGATTACAAAACCCTATAAACAATCAAAAGATTGTTCTAGAAGAACAAACTCAATAACCTAAAGAACAAATGTCATTAAAGAAACCCACTAGAAAAAGGAGAAAGACAGTTTCGAATGAATTTGTACTCTTTCTTCAAGAAATGAGGATGTCATTGGATTGGTGAAAGAAGATCCAATCAACATTCATCAAGCAATGAAAATGAATAATTATCAAGAATGGATTGATGCTGTGAATAAAAAGACAAAGTCCATAAAAGACAATGATGTTTGGAAACTCAGCCCATTGTCTAAAGGTGCGAAACACATTGTTTATGAATGAATATTTAAAATCAAGATGAATTCGAAGGCGCGATGTGGAGAGAAATTAGTTTCATCTTGTCTTAAATGATTTTATTCAAAAGGAAGGCATTAATTACAAATAAACTTTATTTCCTATTACAAAGAAAAACTCTTCTAGGACTATTATGACATTAGTGAAAATTTTGATCCCGAGCTACATAAGATAAATGTTAGACCTACATTTCGCAATAGTGACATTGACGAGACACATTTATATTGTGCAGATGGATAACTTTGTGCTAGAAGACCCAAAGAAAATGGTTTGCAAATTAAGGAAATCTATCAATGGGATTAAACAGGCTTCTCATCAATGGTAACACAAATTTCATCAAATAATTATCTCGTTTGTTTTTTAGATGAATTCATTTGCTAGTTGTTTATGTCATAAATTTAATTAGAGTAAGTATATTTTGTTGATATTGTATGTCGATGACAAACTACTTGTCTACAATGATATAAGTTTATTACACAAAACCAAGAGATTTTCATTATTAAATTTTGAAATGAAAGATCTTGATGACGCCTCTTTTATGTTAGTAATACAAATATTTATGTTAGTAATACAAATACATAGGGATCATTTTCGAGGTATTTTTGAATTATCACAAAAGAGTTATATTAATAAGATTTTTAAGAGATTTTGGATGCAAGAATGTAAACCAGGTGATACCTCATAACTCAGAGAGACATGTTTAGTTTCAATCAATACTTTAAGAATATACTTAAAGACAAGAAAATATTAGAAAATTTCCTATGTTTCAGCAGTTATGAGGTTAATGAGCACTCAGGTTTGCACACATCCGAATATAGCAATCACTGTTAAAATGTTGAGCAGAAACTTTAGTAATTTTGGATTGGATATTTGGAAAGCAGCTAAACAGGATATTCAGTTTTCATAGAGAACTAAGGATTACATGATCACATATAAGAAATTAGACTAATTGGAGATTATTGGATATTGTGATTCTGATCATGAAATATGAATGCGACATTTTATCACTAGACTACGCATTTTGGATAATAGAAGTCTTGTATTCCAACAGGAGTTCGATGATGTCAAACTTATAGACATTGAGTTCCTAGTTGTTAGTGAAAGAATTCTGAGTCGTCAAGTTTCTATAGAATATATTAGGACAAATTCCATAATTACAGATCCGCTTATTAAAGGACTATTGCCCAAGGTCTTTCATGAGCATATTGCTCACATAGGTATTGCATTTTTTATGATATACCAATTTAGTGAGAGTTTGTGCTCGGATGATGTCTATTTTAGACTTATACTTTTAGCCATGGATACTCAGTTTATTTCAGAAATAAAATATTCAATTCATATTCACTCTGATTAAAATTTATGGTTAATCTCGTTAAAGAATAAAGTATGACTAGTTAGAAAATATACCTGTTTGGATCACATTGCATGTAATTTTCATATTACACATCCACACTTCATCTATGTCATTTGATTGTATTGATATACGTGACCATTGATGAGTTTAGTCATAATACATGTAACGAACACTGCTTTGATTATATATTGATATAATTGTTGGATAAGATTGTTCGAAGATGCTTTTGGTTGTAATAGAAAAAATGTTGAGTTCATAAGGTTATGCACATTTATAAGATAACGTATGTGGCCCAAGTGAGTGATTGTTGGATTTTAATGTCAGAGCCTACATATGTAACTAATCGTGTATAAATGTTATCTTAAAGTTAAGTTCGTTTAAAGTGATCTTATAAAGAATAAAATTATTGGGTTTTGGGTTTCTAAATAAAGTGTGAGTCTAAATGCGTGTAGAGAAAAGATTTTATATATATAGGATTATGGTTCTCAATTCATAGGTAATTTCTCATTCTTTGTGGCACTACATCAATACAAGATTACAAGAGAAAATATATTGAAAATGAAGATCCAAAACCCACATTTAAGAATCAATAATCAAGAATGAGGAATTGAAGAATCAAGACTATGAATCAAGAAATGAAACTAAGAACAAGGATTAAAGAATCAAAGGAGACAAGATTCAAGATTCAAGATCCAAATCAATGGATTAAGCTGTGTTTCGCATTAATAAATTTTCTTAGTGATTTGACATGAAGATCTTGAAAATTTATATAGTTTTATAAAGTTTAAGTTTCATAAATATTCAACAATTGTTGTTTGAATACTTATCATACATGTGATTCTTTCATTCTTATGAGATTAAGAATATTTTTGAACATATTTTTATAATTTTTTGAAATATTTTGTTTGGCTTGAAGAATTTTTATAGGAAGTTGGTCTAAAGTAGATTCCTTAGAAAACTCTTCTACAAGAAGTAAAAGTTGTGTCAAATGGGTCCTTAATATGTTTAGTTAAAACTTATTCAGATTCACATAGAAATATGAGTTGACTCAATTGAATAGAATTAATTTGAACTCAAGAAACTTAAATTCTTTATTTAGTGAATTCAATCGAGTACGACTTTATGAATTGAACTTGAGATGTGAGATTAAAGGAAATCACTAAGGTGAAATCATATGAAACAACGCTTTAATCGTCATATTGAATGGTTAATCCTCGATCCAAAGAAAAAAATTTCATATAGTTGTTTTTACTTTTTTAGTTAATATTTCTTCAATTGAAACCTTACCATCAATATTTACTTTATTTAAGTAGGAACTAGGAATAGTTAGGTCAATCATTAAATAGATATTTCTCGTGGGAAAGGTGATCTGGACTCTTTAGTTCCATTTTCCTACTTGTTTAATTGATATTGTACACTTACAATTTTCACATAGCAAGAGACAAAACTATAATAATTGATAATCCCCAATGCGTAGATGGCTGGATGAATTTGTAAAGATTGGTAGTTACTACATCCCTCTAAGACCAGATGGTAGTCAATCAGACGACTTTGTCCCTTCTGTCAATTGGACACTGCAAATGATAAGAGGGTAGGTCTAAGCAACTTAGTCATTTGGAGTCTAATTATTAGACACGTGTATTCATGCTTACCAGTATTGTTCTCTAAGATACTTATCCTTGACATTTGTGACCATTACAACCAACACATTTTGATTGGTGTACCTACTATACCCATACAATCATATTCCTAGATTGACAGGAGAGTAAGAGTGCACGAGGACCGTCGCTACCATGGGATGGAGATGTGTGCCGATCATAGGTGCTATAGATAGAGACAAGTTCTCATAAATATGATGTTACATTCTCAACCTTTACATACACTTATACACTTCTCCGATACATTATTCCCTCTTACTCCATAATCATCATTGAGTAGTAGTTTTCCCTCTCAACCCTTGCATGTCTTTTGCCGTCCAAGTGGCTACCATAGGAGGAGGAGAAACTACACAACTACGAAAACAAAGCACATACCTCGAATATCGAATACTCTTGAAGGTTAAAGGTACTTTCGGAAGGTGATTAGAAATTAAAAATTGCACTATTTTTATAAATTAACAGTGGTCCAATTAGGGGTGTCAAATTGGTCAAGTCGTTTGAACTCATGTATCGAGATATCAAAAGTATATATTAAGAAAATTTAAATTCGAGACAACATATATGAACTCATTAATGACATAGCGGGAGAGCAATAGAAGGCTCGCCTAGTTAGCCAGACGTATGATTGCACTTTAAACGATGAGAATCAACTAATGAAAAATATCATTATCTTATGGGAGAGCAATATAAAGCTCGTCTTGCCGTGCACCCTAAAGGACGAAAGTCGAATTACTAAAGCATCACAATCTTACCCTTCGAATTTCTAAAATCCTGCCAAGAGTTTCTGATTCAAATTCTACATTCCAGAATTCCTTGTGCCACGTTGGAACTATGAAAATGATAAGTGCAAGCAATAGAAAGAAAGTTAGAATGCTTTTGCTAATGCTGTCCCTCTCGATTCCAGGTAACCCAACAATTCCTTTTTATTTTGTACCGTCAAATGTTGTATTCTAACTCATATAGCATTACACCTGAACTCACAGTTATTATATATCCGTTAGTGTCAGAAGAAATATGCTTAATATGCTGTGACAGAATGATGAAAAATTGGACAATTTTGAACTTCACAATCAAGATAATGGGCATTATAAAAAATGCCTAAACAAATAATTGAAATAAAGATATTTTCTTGAATTTATTCCCTGTTTTCGGCAATATTCTTGAAAGTTTAATTCTGGGTGCTTTAATTAGAGCCACTGCCAACAAGCATAGATTCTCTTCTATGCTGTAAATCTAGAGTCCCCCAACCTCAACGGCTCAGGGAAATTCATGGAATGAATGTGCTCTTGTGGTTTTTATTTTCTGGTTTGATTCCCCCTTTTTAATTTTCTTTGTTGATAAAAAGATTTCTGCTTTTTGTCATTGTCTTCACCTCTCCTTTTCATGGACGCTTCTTCTTTCACTTTCTCGCTTTTTGAGTCCATAGACAATGTGTAGCTGGTTCACACATACGTGTTTTGATTCCAATTTTTCAATTTATATGAACTTTTGCGTATAAATAGGTGTCTATGCTCCTGTTTTCTTCATTGCTTACAACTTTTTCAGTTCATTTCATATTGCATACAAGGTGTCCTTGAAAATTCCCAGCTGCAATTTTATCTTCACCGGCTATGATGAGCTATGCAAATTCGTCTGTGGGCTCTGGTTAGTTGAGATTGTTTCTTTTTCTATCAGCTTTTGATCGCTTACCACAGTTATCTCCGTTTCTTTTCTGTCATTACACTCTATGTCCTCGATTTGTTCGAGTGCAATTAATGACTTCATTGACCAAATTTGTAGGAAGTAGAACAGCTAGAAGGACATTTGAGTTTGGGAGGACATACGTGGTGAGGCCTAGAGGGAAACATCAGGCAACAATAGTTTGGCTACATGGCCTTGGCGATAATGGCTCAAGGTAGAATTATTCTAGCTTTGGGCATTTTGTGATTGTGAAACATGAGTATTGATTTCTCAATTGGAGTGTCAATGGTGGATGATTGTGAAAAAAAGCTTAAATTATTAATATGGGGACCATGATGTATTGATTTTTATATCCAACAACTTTGATAGTTAATTTTTCCTGGTGATTGGTATATACCTTATAATAAAGTAGTAGTAAATAAGTGGACCTTTTTTCACTAAAAGAAGAGCAAAAGTTCCTCTGGAAAGAATGTCAATGGCTAAAGAAGTCATGCTTACACACTTATCTTTTCCTCAAGACTTTACAAAAGAAAACTTTACTTTTTATCTTGGCCTCTTACAATTCTAAATGTAATTAACATTAGAAATCCTGAATAAAATGTTTATGCATTGCATGCCGTATGTTTTGTTGGGATCACGAGTTCACTTAATTTTCAAGGCTGCCTAGAACAGTGTCAAGTTCAAACCTTTTGTTGATTCCTTCCCTTGGTATTGTAATACATTTTATGGAAATATTTACAAACTTGGTCTATATTACCTCACAAGCAAAATCTGAAGTTTCTGTGGTTAGATAAAGTGCTCGTCCTTTAGCATATTATATAGCAATTACTTTATACTATAGAAAACGGAAAGTAAAAAAGAAAATTATCTGCTCATTTTGTTCTATATTTATTTTTGCAGCTGCTCACAACTTTTGGAAAGTCTTCCCCTTCCAAATGTAAGTTATCTATCCTATTTTTAACTGATACAATTTACTTTTCTTCTTTAATTGCATAACTAGTCCCCAAACTTTCGGAAAGAAATTGTTTTTTTATCTTACCCTACTGAAATATTTTTGCTCAACTTTTTTCATGCAGGTAAAATGGATATGCCCTACTGCTCCTAGTCGCCCAGTGGCTATGCTTGGTGGATTTCCTTGCACTGCATGTAAGGGGAAAAAAATCTGAAAATTTTGAATGCAATGATTTTAATGACTGTTAGTTAAAGCCACACTTCTCTTTTCATGTCTTTCATATCAGGGTTTGATGTGGGAGAGCTTTCTGAAAACGGTCCAGATGATTTGGAGGGTTTAGATGCTTCAGCAGCACATATTTCAAACTTATTATCTACAGAACCTTCTGATGGTAAGATTAATTATTCTTGGTTCATCTTTGATAGTTCACTGTAAACAGTTAGGTGACAACATCTTTAAATATAACACATCATCTCTTAGAGTTTTGTGTACTTTTATTGACTCATCTTTCAGTTTCAAAAGAAAAAAAATAAATTACTTTTATCAACATCAATTAACTCCTTTTTGATAAAGTGTTTTACGTAATTTTGTTGATGACTTTTGTATGAAGTTAAGAGTCTTGTTCGTATCTTTAGGTGACCTTTCTATGTGTCTTAAAATCATCTTACATCTACTTTGAAGATTTGTTATTTTATCTATTCCACTCCCTAAAAGTCTCCCTGTTTTTCTGAGATTCACCGAGTTTGCTCAATGTCTGTGTCATCTTCAATAGAATACGTATTCTTACTTTTTTGTACATTCCATATATGAATTTACATATTCTATATAATTACCGTTGTGTGCTGTCTGGTACAGTTAAGCTTGGGGTTGGAGGCTTCAGCATGGGTGCTGCAATAGCCCTCTATTCTGCAACTTGCTTTGCTCATGGAAAATATGGAAATGGCAATCCTTACCCTGTCACCCTAAGGGCTATTGTTGGTCTAAGCGGGTGGCTTCCTGGTGCTAGGTAAGATTCCATTCGATCGGTCTCAAATGATACAAAAACCATAAAATACAAAACGAGAATTATTAAAGATCCAATGTTTATTTGACTGTATCTTATCTTGTTTATGCTCATTACAATCTAGAATTATGATGTTGCTTCTTAATGTTTGCATTTGGGTAAAGGAGATCCACTTACTCATAGACTATCATTTATTGCAGCAATGTGAGAAACAGAATTGAAGGATCACATGAGGCTGTAAGGCGTGCTGCATCTATTCCGATTTTGCTCGGTCATGGACTCTGTATGTCTTTAGATGTTAAAGCATCATTATCCTTAACCTAGATTCCTGAAAAGTTTAAACTCTTACTATAGCATACTTAATAATTCCTCGAGATTCCCTCTCAACCTCTTGGGAACTTAAATGTTCTGATATAGTTCAGGAGCTTGTGTGTTTTTCTAAACCTCGTTACTTTCTTTAAAAGGTGATGACGTGGTTCCTCATACATACGGAGAGAGGTCCTTCCACGCCTTGAGCTCAGCTGGATTTCGGAACATAGTATATAAATCATATGACGGGTATTTGAATATTTTCATTTAAATTAGATCATCTAATACATTTGGATGAAACTACAAAACCTTATATCGGATTTCTGCAGGCTTGGTCATTATACCGTGCCTAAGGAGATGGAAGAGGTCTGCAGTTGGCTGAATACGAGGTTGGGGGTTTAGGATTGGCGATTTCAAGTTCTCACTGTCAGATTGAAGTTGCTGAGGATCAATGAGTGGTTAGCTATCTATAACAAGGGAAAACATACATACTAGTAGACAGAGACATGGTAGTTAGCTGTGGCTTGCGTGGTGAATTCTGTAGTAAATAGTATTCCTTCCAGTTTTGTTATGTTTTTTCTGCAGTAAAATAATGGTTTTGTTGAATTCAGTAGTAAATAGCAATTTACCATTCAGTTTTTGTTATGTTTTTCTTGCGGTAAAATAAAGATTTTGAATTGGTACTAATACTGTGTAGTTTGCTGAATTTTTTTGTTTTAATGATAGTATGTTGAATCAATCCCTTCCCCCCCCCCCCCCCCCCCCCCCCCCACGCG